TCTCTGCCTGCACATTGTGCAGTGAAGTGGCACATGGTAGGCATGCATCAATGCTCAAAGAGCATTACTGCAATGGAGACCATATTTCTTCACACCCCTTTCAGTAGCTTGCAGTTTGTGCTTTTGTCCTGCTCATCAAGGCAAAGGTGCCACTGCTGATTGCCAATCTGTTTAGCTCTTTTCTGTTTCTTACAATCTCTGCCTCATGTCATCCTACGTCTGATTTCTTTCTCTGTCAGAAGCTGATTAAACATATCCTGAGGAGAAAATTATTTAATTACCGCTTAAATATATATGACATTATTCTTATTAACTGATTGAGGCTAATTTTCAAACAGTGTGAGCAACACTTGCCTGTATTTTTTCCCAATCTTTTTTTATATCAGTTGAAATCGACCAACATGTGTTTTACACAATGAATTTGATACCATTCATCAAGTTATAATTATAACAACAGTAATGAAATAACATTTATTCACTGAGGAATTTTATAAAAGTTGATTGAGAGCTCTTATAAGTAAAACAAAATATTATGAGCACACAAATCAAATATTCTCACAAAAACATTTAAACAGACCTTAATATTGCTTGATCAACACCTTGAGATAAAATGAGCAGTCACTGTCAACATAATGTCTGCTTTACCGTGTGCACATTTGGATGAAGGGTTACATTTAAGTAAACACATATTTTAAATATTTTACTTGCTCAACAATTTTTTTTATTTTTTTTAAATGTTTTTATTCAATATACAATCTGCAAATCATGTATGTCATTCAAAGAGGAAAATGTTTATGGAATATAACACAAAATAGATAAATATTCCAACCCACTTGGCGTTATGAGTAAATGAATTTTTTCTAAGCTTGCAAAATATTTATCTATGCCACCTCAAAAAAGAAACTATCATCAGATGTGTGCTGGAACTGGCAACAAATCATTTCCTTAGGTCTAAAGGAATATTGGTCCTCCATCTTTTTTTATTTAACCACATCAGATGAGTTTTTACATCATGAACAGCAAGTTTAAGTTCAAACTGCTGCAATTCAAATCACCTAGTTCCCTTCATTTAGCTATTCAGACAAAAACTTCATGTTCCATAGCCCAAGTCGGCAATTTTATATTCAGGATCTGATAAGCAATACATCAAGGCATAAATAAGCAATAAATCAAGGTGCTAAATGGTTAAAGCAGGCCTATACCATCACACTACCACCACCATGTTTGACTGTTGGTATGATGCTGTATCTGAAATGTTTGTAATTTAAAACCAGATTCAAAGGAATATATAGAATACTTTCTTGATATTTCTTAGTATTTTGGGTGATCGTCAATATATTTTTCACATGTATTGGATGTTCCTTTGTGTTCTTTTTTGTCAGCCTTTGTTTTTGTATTAATGCAATTTTCACAGAATCTGAGGTAAAGGACACATTGTTTTTAAGGTAGTCTAAGCTGGCCATTTCTTGAAAGGTTGACCACCCCCATGTCTTACCCATTGCAAATGCTTCATTATTGTTGTCTGCTTGACTTCCACCCTAAGAAAATGTTTTACACCCTTTGCAAGATTGATAGACATCATTAACTTTGCCAGTAGAAGTTCTCTGTTATCAAGATCATGACAACCACAAAATGACTTAATTGGAGGCAACCAGACCTTTGCTCAGTTTCTCTGCAAAGTTTCAACCCCTATCCAGCAGCCTTTGTCAGTTCAGTTGGTTTGCACTAGAGCAAACTATAGTTTGGTGTTTTTCCAAGTCAGAAGCAGATCAATGAGCAATCTGTTACTGTCCTGGGTTGTTGTGAGTCTGTTGTTTGTTGTCAGTTGTGTACTTGGTCATCAGAATCTTGATTTGTTAGATTTTGTTATTTCTTAGGGTTGTAGATGCTTGGAAACTTCAAATATCATCTGCCATCCTCTATTTGGTGTTGGGTTTTTTCCTTTTAGGAGATGGCTACCTTTTTCTTAACCATCCATGCTCTCTATCTAAGATCTGAAAATGTTGGTCATCAAGGGTGTGTAGTTTGTTCTTGAAGTGCAACTGCACCGCTGAAACTTGCCAAAAGCTGCTGGCTCTCCTGTGCTATGTATGCCATGCATTTATGTAGTTATTTGGTTTTTCCAATGAAGGAGTCTGAGAAGTCTTCACCACACAACACATAGACAGTGCTGCTCAGCTTTAGCTTGGGTGTTCTGTCTTCGGGAGAAACTAATTTGTTTTCTTCTCTCTGCTAGACAGTGTTGGGGTTTTTTCTGCTTTGTTAGGCGACTTAACAAATGCCCAGTTTGGATAATCACATACTAGAAGTGATTTCCTGGTATTTGTGCTTTCTGTGTTTCTCCTCTGTGATAAAGAGAATGTTAACCCCCCGATATCTCCGAATTATATTAACTGACTGTTTGTTGTGTTCCATTGTTGTGTTAATATGATTTAGAATACAGTTATTGATGTGTATTTGTGCGATTCTGGTAAAACATTTTGCTCAATGTGCACAGAACAGTCCAGAAAGAGCAACATATTATTCTTAGCATCCTCTCTGGGGAACCTGATGTTTCTGTTACTGAGTTTCTGTTGTTAATGAATGCCTCAACTTCTTGCAAATAAAGTAGATTGTAAGAACAACACGTATGATTTAATGGGCATTGTGCTCTTCATATTCTATATTTTGGAATTCTTTTATTCAAAAAATAACATTAAACAATGATGTAATAATGATAAAATATTATGTTAATTAAAAAAAGTTTTTCATCACTAGCAGCACTTTTTGTGAAACATCACTACCGTCATTGTCAGTATCAGTATCCTTGTTATATTGTTTGGAGTGAAGATGCTCACCCCTAAAATAATCAGACCCCTGTTTGGGGATATCAGGGAACAAAGCAATATGCAATCTGTTATGAAACTGGAGTATGATTTCCTTTCATATTTGTCTGTGCAGAAGCGGGCATCCTTATTTTGTGTGTTGATGTGTGTATGAACCTACACAGCAACACATCCACAGTCTATTAAATTTGGAAATTATCCATTCTCAGTGGACACTTTATGTCAATAATATAATGTCATTTAAATTCCTCTTCTGGTCTCACCCATTGCTTGTTCAGGGTTAAAAAGGACAAACTCGACTTCCTATCCTCATATTTACAAACACCCTCTAAACGGATCCATTTTTTCCCCGTTTATTCTTTGCTGTTAAAGTCATTATATAAGCGGTGACTTTGGGGGCATTAGTTTGCAGGCTGATGGGAATCTAAATAGATTACTGGATATTAATTGCTTTGAAAATGCAATAGCAGTTGTTTTTTGTTTATTTGTTTTCTCCAGGCGGTGCTACAAATCCAAAGAGCCTTAGCTGTAATAGCTCTTAATAGGTTTCGTGGTTAGAAATTTGTCACGGTGAATGAACTGTTGCCATCTCATAAAGCTTGTCTCCGACTGTAATGTTACTAAAGCATTAGATATAAATTAGAATAATGGTGGATTGGGGCTCCAACATAATGGTTGACCTGTAGTGTGTAATTAGCTTATTTCCGTTTACATTCAGAGTATAGATCAGATTTATCCCCACCCCCATGGCACCCCCCACAGCCCTTTACAGATGGATTCCTTTCATTATAACCTTTCGATTGCAGCATAACAATGAGTCTAGAAATTAAAAACTACAAAATCTCTCTTGTTATGACCCAATAAACTTTCTTTTAACAGTTTGTGAGCATTGTGTTTAACAATGTTTGATCATCATATACTACATTATTAAATCCTTCTTTCCTTAGTCAGTACCTGAGATGTGGTTAAACTGATGCCTCAGCTGGTATTAAGTGCCCAGCATGGAGTCTGTCAAAGAGCGACAGTGACTCTACAGTGAGTCAGATGTAGCCTAATTCGGCTATTTTCTTATGAGACAATGATCTCATTAACTTAATATCCTCTCGCCTGGAAATTCATCATGTTTACTCACATTAAATAGTGTTTTCTTTATGGATTATTTATCTCTGTCGGTAAGAAGTATTTTTAGAAGAGACCCCCTCCACCTGCATCTCAGGGTGTCTGGTTTACAAGCTGCTGCCTATCAGCAAATTGCAACTTTGCAAGGTCGTATTTTACTGATAGTTTGTGAAGAGCTGCAGCTCTGAGATTCGTTGCCCCATGCACCAACAACAAGCATTAATGGACACCAAGAGGGATTTTTATCCATCTACTGACGCTTGGTTCATTTTGTTTTCTAACAGAAAAAAAGAGAAATTTTGTTATTGTTTAAAAAAAGGAATTTAGAAAGTGTTACTGAGAAGCATCTATTTTAGGATTTATTAAACTTTGTAGAAAATATCTGTCAGTCTTTTCTTGTTTTAAATTTCTTGCATGAACAACTGTAACAGCTGATAGCTGCTGTTCTAAATTCTGCATATTTCTTTTTTTAAATGGGACATTGAACATGAATTAACATGCAAACAAATGCACATTCAAAGATACCATTGTAGGTCAATGTAAATTGCAGGTAAATGTAAAAAAAAATGACAAATAAAAAAAGCAGATGCATATAGGACCATTCAAAACAAGAACAATTTAACAAATGACAATGTAGTGCACAGAAAATAAAACATATTTTTAAAGACACAGTCTTTAACAACATAAACAATATACAACAGACTTTTTAAATGTTAATACAATGCTAAGTTGCGTTCTATGGGGATATTTAATTGTTCAAGAGCCACTTTATCTTTACTGATTTAGAGAAAAAAATGTCTTAACAATGAAAGGTTAACAAGATCTGGAAGCACAGTGATGAAGGTGATGCTCTTGCAGGAAAAAAAAACTGCTTTAAAGTGCTTTTTTTTAATCATATGATGACAAGAGTAAGTTTTTTTTTTATTTTGGTCTAGTGTTTGTAGTCTGACTATTTATCTTAATATATAATATTTTATGTGTGAAGCATGGAGGTCTGGACTAAACAGTGTTTGAGAAAATTCTAACTTATCTCACATGTTTCTATTTAATTTGTAGGTGGCATGTCTGCAGGACTTCTTTGGAGATGAGGATGTGTTTGTGGCCTGTGGACCAGAGAAATTCCGCTACCACGATGACTTAATGTTGGATGAGAGCGGTAAGGAAAAAGGTGCTCGATATGTGTCTTTGTTGTGTTGGTCGTAGTTAATAACATTACAAATGTACAACCTGGTTAATATTCCAGGTATGCTTTTTATGAGTTATGAAGCAATACATTATTGCGCTTCTATTTGAATTAGATCGTACCAGAAAAGAATCAAAGGGATTGCAAGGCTGTCTGCATTGCTCAGGGTTTGTTTTCTATAACAAGATTTCTACTAACAGGCTTTGGATTAGTGGTGTTTTCACATTTTTTTTTAACCTTATGAGACAGATCAACATAATAACTACATGCTTGTCATGAGGATTTAAATAAGATTTTTTATTTTTACTATTTTTATCACTTAAAAAATAGAGTCTTCCATCCATCCATCCATCCATCCATCCATCCATCCATCCATCCATCCATCCATCCATCCATCCATCCATCACTCCCTCTGTTTTGATCTAACTCATAATCTCCCATTGAAATACATATTAATGCAAACATTTTCAGAATGTATGGACACTTATGCAATTTATGATTACTCTCAGTTTAACTCTATACTGATTTGTAGCCTTTGAGTTGTCCTTTTTGCATTTTAAAAGGCCAAACAGAGGTGCTGCTCGCTTACCAGCATCCATTGTATAAGTTCATCTTCACTTTAGAATCAGCCATTCACTGTGGGAACCAGAGGGAAGGCAACCTAGCTCACATAAAAAGCAGTTATCTGAATCCTTTCAGGGTCTGTTGATCTAATTAAATGAAGAACAAGCTATAATTAGGGAGAAGCATAAACTGATTAGTACAATCTAACACTCCCAACATTTTCTGTGGGAATGTATTGCCACAAGCAATAATGCGAAACAACCTTCTTATATACAAACATTTACAATGGGATGTGACTTCTCTGATTAATGAACCAGATGTAAAATCCATCTTGTTTGACAATCACTTCATTGCCTAAAGGACTGCAATCTTTGTGCTTCAGCTTAACAAAGAAACAAAGTCCAGGCTGTGATGTGTCTGGATTCTTCTTTTTTATTCTTCCTCCTGCTTCCTTTTCTTGTTTTACTTCTTACAAGATTGTTCCATCTTCAAGAGCCACAGCCCACAGAGGATGCTCTCTGTCCTCACTTCAACCATCTGTGATCTGCTGTCTGCCTCTTAGCCACTGCCATTTACTGCTCATCTATATTCCTTTCCTCCTCTGTGCTCACCTTTGTCCCACATGAGTCAATCCTTGTTGGCTTTTGTTCAAATGTTCTTCTGTCCATTTGTGTTGTTTGTATCCCATTATTCACAGAATAATAACCATCCTACCTGGGTCCCCGACCTTCACCCCTACCCATTTTTTTCTTCTTTCTCACCTCACCAGTTTTTCGTCTAACATTTGCAAAACATAATACTTACCTGAATACATTAGCTATACTTTCTTTGGTGACCTCCTTCTCTTGAGGAATACCACAAAAGAGCCACCTACATGCAGCCAGACATGGAGGACTGTGTTTCTTTGTCTGCATTTCCAGTAATTACTGATGATTATCTTCATAAGTGATGTTCTCTTAGTAAACAGTCCAGTTGTAGTTTTCTTTCTGATAATATTTTAATGTCCAATTCTGGCAACAATAGTAATGGTGAAGGTAGATCAACCATCTACACCCCTTCCCTTATAATAGGGTTCTATGATTCTTTTCTAGTCAGTGTTTTACATATGAACATGTGCATGTCAACCAAAATAAAAAAAAGTATCTGTCTTAACGTACAGATATATGTCTGGCTTCTTCAAAATAATTGTTTTGGTGTGGACATTTCTACTTTTAATGTTCATCTCTCCTGCACTTCATTAACACTAAGCTTCACAATTTTCATATAATATTATTAAATATAATATTATCTTTAAAGACAAACTGAGAAAATGCAAAGCAGTCAAGTAATAATTTCTCTTTTCAAAGACCTTTCAACATTTGATCTAATCTAAGAGTGAGATTTTGAGCGCTGACAGTAAAAATCATTATTTTGAATCATAAATAAACAGACTCATTTGATGCATTTTCTAATTTCTTAAATTACATTTTAATATAAAAATGTGCAGATTCTCTCTCATTAATCCTCTTCCCGAATATATTCAATACCACCAACTTCCTTTATGATAGATAGAATACCAGTGGTGGACGAAGTACTCAACAGTAGTACTTGAGTAAAAGTATTGATATTCATAGTCAAATCTTACTCAACTACAAGTGAAGTTACTCAATCAAACATCTACTCAAGTTAAAGTATTGAAGTATGTTAACTTAAGTATTCAAAAGTACAAGCATTGAAAAAGTATTTAAGAATTCAAAAATACAAATAAAATGCTCTAATATCATAACATTTCTGTATAACTGTCAGAGTAATTTTAAAGAACCTTTTAACATTCAGAAACCACCTGATGGATTGATGCATAGAACCACCTGCTACAGATTTTACACCACCTGTAAAGAACTTCAGCATAAAAAGGCCACAAAAAGGGCAGGCGGAGGGGATCAAACCGGGTACTTGCAACCGTCTCAGAGCACAAGCGCACTGCTCAAACCACTAGGGCACTAGACCAAAACTCCTGATAACCACTGACACAATAGTTTATGCCTGACTTTATAGGATCAGACAGCAAACCTTTACAATAAGAGCATAATTTTGTTATACAATATTCTGAATTTCAGTTATCAAAATGCTGGTTAAAAATTCTCACAGTAATCTCTCTGCCTACACAAAACACCACGCTAAAGGCTATGATCGATTTCTGGTCAAAATAATTTAATACAAAATGACATCTATGAAGGTAAATATGTGCCAAAATGAACGAACTTGTGAATTTAATGTGAAAACTTGAGAATGCAATGTGAGAATTTGTACCACAAAAATCTGAACTTGTATGCCAAAATGTTCTGCTGTAAAGAAAAACCGCACACACACAAACTGAATTTGAAGTTGCACTAAAAGAAATATCAGGCAAGACCATGTAAAAAAAAATTACACTTGTCAGTCCAATCTTCACCTGAAGAGGATTTTCACTCAAATCTGATTTAAATGTGAATGCACAAAAAAACTATTTACTGGTGTGTTCATATAGTTTTACACAAATAAAATTACAGCTGACCAATGATTATTGATAGTTTATTTGTAATTATTATTTTTTTGCATATGTTAATATTGCATTACAACCTCAATTTAGCCATTACAGCTTCTTGAATCTGCTGCTTCAAGAACACAAACGCGCTCTCGCGAGACACAGCACGTTGACACCGCGCTTTGACTTTTGTCACATTCCTTGCGAGATATTTGTGCCAAAACGAACTTGTGTTTGAAGATGTGAGAGCAAATGTGGGGGGGGGGGGGTTCTATAGGCCAACCAATCACAGGCTGCGTCTCAATTCGCAGGCTGCGTACTTGGGAGGACGCCTTTGGAGCACTTCCTGGCTTCTTTTTTTTTTTTTTTTTTTTTTTTTTTCAGTAGTTGAAGAAAAAGAAGAAGAAAGTCGGATTTTCTTGAAGTTACGGACAACCGAAAGCAGCAGCAGCGCCGGCAGTAGAGCGGAGAACACCTTTAAATGTAAGTAGTTTGTTTTTGCTTTTTTTAAATGAACATCTATTAAAATACATGACGGTAACAGAGCCACCGGGATGTGTAGGAACAGCTAAAGCTAAAGCTTAAAGCTAACCTGTTGATACGTGATGTTCATCAACAATTAAAAGCCTTCATACAAATGTCACTATTTTTTATTTTAACCTACATCTTACTGTACTGATAGCCGTATCCCTCTCTAATCAGATCTATTTATACTCAAACAGTTTATTACAAAGTATTAGAACTTTTAAAGCTTAATGCAGCTGAAGAAATAACATTAGTCCAGCTGTACTGGGCTGTTAATACTGTAAACGTTTTGTTTTAATACTGAATAATGTATAGTTAATTTACAGTACAGTATAATAAGGTTTAAAGTATAATTCACTTGAAGAACAATACCAGTGTAATTATACAGAACAGTCATTTTGCCTGTTGACATAACAGAAATATGCTTTACATGTCATTTTGTTCCAGGGAGCAGACAGAGGAGTGGATAAAATGACCACTTCATCATCGGGGCCAAAAATACTGCTGCAGTCGGATGGAGCGAAGAGTTGAGGCAGAATTCCATCTACATGTTGCATTTCTATGTAAAAGTCACACAAGTTAAAAGAAGTCCTGTTCAAACACCAACGTACAAATATATAATAATTTGATCGCATCAAATGATGCCCAGATGCCACTTTTTGTAAATCTCATATTTGTGATAGAAGTGATCCTTGTGTGGGACAACTTAAAAAAAAAAATACAAAGTATGTTCAGGTTTGGATAATGTAATGGGACACACACACACTATATATATATATATATATATATATATATATATATATATATATATATATATATATATATATATATATATATATATATATATATATATATATATATATATATGTGTGTGTGTGTGTGTAGGGAAATTACATCTTACATTTATTATATTCATGTTAATTTTGAGTAAGCTTAAAAAAGTAATCTCCAGGTTACCATTCCAAAGTCTTTTTCTGTAGAATTTCATTAATCCATCCAAATCATGAAACCTTCCTTTTTTCTAGCTTTAAAGAAACACTACAGAAAACAGGGGGTCAGTGGGAAGCCTACTGCTGCCACCTGGCCCTGGTTTGTCCTCATGGATGAGGTATTAGGACAGAGGCCCCCTAATGCCCCACCTGTCCTAATTGCCTCCATCCCTGAGGACACAGCAGGGCCAGGTGCTGCAGAGGCTGAGCAGCACCAGGTTGACGATGAGGAAGAAAATGAGGATGAGAGGCCAGGAGAGAGGAGGGAAAGGAGCAAGAGAAGAAGGAGAGACGAGTTGGTGGATTTAATCAGGGAGGATATCAGATGGCAGAGGGAAGCGGGATAGGATGGACAGATTATTTCATTTATTGGAGAGGATGGTGGACAGACATTATTATTTTTG